TATTCAACATGGGGCTCAAACCCGCAACCCTGCGATCAATAGCCTCATGCTCTACCGACTGAACTGTACCCAGCTTCTTTTTTCTCTTCCCATATTTTGTCCTCACAACAACACTGTGAGGCTGAGACTGAATGACTGGCCTGAGGTCGCCCAGTGAGCTTTGTGGCTGGGTGGGGATTTGAACCCTGAATCTCCCAAGTCTTTGTCCAACAGTAGCCAGCCCTAGATGCCCTAGTGGGAATCCCTAAAGCTGGACTCAAGTGCAAGAACATTCACCCTTCCTGTGGTTTCCAGCAACTGATATTCGAAGGCATTCTGCCTTCAATAGCGGATATAAAACATAGTTATCATTGCTAGTAGCTGTTGATAATACTCAGGAGTCTCAGGTTCAAATTCCCACACAGCCATGAAGCTCAATCGGTGACCTTAGGCTCAGTTGGTGTCTCTTAGGCTAAGCTACCTTACAGGGTTGTTTTGGATAAAACTGAAGGTGGGTGGGTGGCGGGAAAAATGTAGGTGGTATTCAGTTAAGAGTTACTCAGAGTAGGCACACTGATACCAATTAATGCATGTGACCAAGTTAGGCACATGGATTTCAGTGGGTCTCCTCTGAGTAAAACTCAGCTGAATACTGCCCTATCAGTGCAACAGGCCACCTTGATTGCTACAAACAGAAAACCAGCATGACAGGCAGATATCTGAGACAGAAACTGTCTCCTAATGTTCTAGCTTTTTCCTTGCAGAGAGTTAAAACACAAGCACACACATGCACACACCACAATCATCTGAAGAAACATCCAGAAGAGATATCCGCTGCCTACAGTCTGAAGTAGTGGGGCCCATTATGTCAAGTTAATTATTTCCCTACATCCTTGCAGCTTTCTGCTGAGGACAAAAGAAGAGTGAACTCTGCCTGTTGAATTTCTACCTGTCAGAAAAGTGTTAGTTAGAGGCACAGTAGCCCTGCCAGAAGAACTGGTAGATAGCCACTAGTGTTGCCAGCTTTTGCACTAGCCCATGGGTAGGCAAACTAAAGCCTGGGGGCCGGATCTGGCCCAATCGCCTTCTAAATCCGGCCCATGGACGCTCCAGGAATCAGCGTGTTTTTATATGAGTAGAATGTGCCCTTTTATTTAAACTGCATCTCTGGGTTATTTGTGGGGCATAGGAATTCGTTCATTCCCCTCCCCCCCCAAAAAAATAATCCGACCCCCCACAAGGGCTGAGGGACAGTGGACCAGCCCCCTGCTGAAAAAGTTTGCTGACCCCTGCAGTAGCCCCTGTAGGAATATAGGATCTGTCTGATACTGAGCCAGATGTCTGATCCATCTAGTTCAATGTTATCTGGCAGTGACTCTCCAGGGTTTCAGGCAGGTATCTTTCCCAGCTCTACCTTAGATGCTAGTGAGTGAACCTGGTCCTGGGACTCAAACATTTATGTAAAGAGGCAAGAGTGGATCAGGGCTTTCCCCCCACCCCCCACTAGCCACTTGGCAACCGTACATATAATTTGTGCTAGAGTTCAGTCAAAGAGGAACATGCCTGGGCTAATAATAATGCTGCATATCTTAATCTTCCTGCAGAAAAAGTAGTCATAGTTTCTTCCTGCTCAGCTGGATCAGAGTTTCTGGGTCAGAAGGTGTGATGGCCTCGTGATGTGTGTGTGTGTGTGTTTAAAAAAAAACCACCCAGGACCTCTTTTTAAGGAAATAAAATTGCTAGCTTAATGCCAGCTACAGAATAAGCCACGAAGGCAGACAGAAGAATTAGTTAGTCCAGGGCTTAGTTTCTGGGCTCTTTTCCAAATGCCAGACCTCAGCCATTTGGAGTGACAACGCCGGTGCCTCTGTGGCCTGCCTTTCAACCCTAAAGAGCCACATCCAGTCCTTGCACATCTGGGGAAAGGGCAGATGGGTGCAGTGCCCAGTTTTGTGCTCCAGAACTGCTCACTCTAAAGAGAGAGAGAATGACTTCTCAGAGGAGATTCCACCCAACCCCCTGCCCGTGAAACATGGAAAACAGACTTTAGAAAGACCATCCCATAATTTCCTTGCCACATGAAAAGGCAGGATGTAGGCGGAGGTATGCAGGGCCCCCAAGCTGTACCACAGGGAGAGGCTTGCATGTTTGCCCCCTGCTCCCAGCATAGAATGCTGGCAAAGGTCCAACAGAAGTGTAAACACATGACATCTTTACCCCTTTTGCAAATACTACCACAGAAACTCCTGTAAACTAGCTCAAGGAAAACTATGATAGAGGTCCAAGACCTAGAAAAGGTGGGCAATTGGTTCCAAAATCTTCATTACCAAGGAGGAGAACTCCCCGAGGCAGACTCAGAAAAACAAAACTATTTCACCCCAAACTTGAAAAATAGATTGCTTTTAATTCCAGGTCCACTGCTGAGCCCAAATTCAGACTCAGGCATTCCCTGCAAGTACCCTAACACAGGTGGCCCTTCTGGTGCTGTTGGACTTCCCTTCTCATCAGCCCCAGCCACCATGGCCAGATGGCCAGGGATTATGGGAGTTGTAGTCCAACATCTGGAGAACCACATGTGCCTCAGCCCTGCCCTGGCAAGTCTCTAAACCGCTCTCCCAGCCACCCGCTTACCTGTCTACCAACTCACCCAACCTCTCCAGCCCAACTCCTGAGGGTTGAGTGGAGGGAGGTTTGGCTTCCTTATCTAGCATGTGGCATACACCCATTGTAAGTGTTGAGGAGGGGAAGGGAAATGAGAAACCTCCCTTCTGCCCATTCCAATTGCTGTGGAAGCGAAGGTGATGTGGGTGTTCACATAGACTTACAAGTGGGAGGCAGGACTTGGGTTCTTTTCCAGCTCAGATGAAAATCTGAGCCGCAGAATAACTTTTGGGCCTGTCATGTTCACTTTACATTTGAAGTGGGTGTTGAAGTGGGTCCTCTTGGATACAGCCAATGCAGACAGCATGTCAGGGTGATGACCAAGTTGCAAATTCAACTCCCCAATGTGACTTGTTACCCCAGGGCTACATCACTGTCAATGTAACCTAAAGGTAAAGGGACCCCTGACCATTAGGTCCAGTCGTGACCGACTCTGGGGTTGCGGCGCTCATCTCGCTTTATCGGCTGAGGGAGCCGGCGTACAGCTTCCGGGTCATGTGGCCAGCATGACTCAGCCGCTTCTGGAGAACCAGAGCAGTGACGGAAACGCCATTTAGCTTCCCGCCGGAGCGGTACCAATGTAACCTACGCAAGGATATATTGGAATACACCCAGAATCCTTTGTAAATTGTGGGAAAGAAAAACATGAGCAAATAAGGTTTGGTTTGTCAAAATATTTTGTTGCATAATAGGAATAATTTTACTTTCTGAAACCTCATTTCCAGAATGGTGGGGGGAGATAGGAGGCAATATTTAGCATGCAAAGCCTTTGCAAGAGTATGCTTATAGGGTTCCTCCACCCTTCCAGCTGTTGCCCCATTACAACAAAAAGCATATAAAGCATATAACATGTGCAGCACACAGTTTGGGGCATGTTTATTCAGAGGTCAACCCTCACTCTGTTGGGGATTTTCTTCCAGTTAAGTTTTCTTAAGATTGTGGCTTCAGTCATGGGCGTAGCAGGGATTTTTTTTGGGGGGGGGCAGGACTTTTGTTGGGGGAGGGCGCGGAACTGATGTGATTGGTCAGTTAAGTATTTCTATTGTTTTTCTTGATGGGGGGGGGAAGCTGCCCCCTGCCCCTCCTTAGCTACACCCGTGGCTTCAGTTGATGTGTATGACTAAAGACAGTAGTTCTGAAGCAAAAAACCAAAACCCAAAACATATTGTTTGCAGGCATGTCACAGCAGGCATCATTTTTGGAGACACAGCCATTCTCTCTCTCTCTCTCTCTCTCACACACACACACACACACACACACACTTTTAAGATCCACTGCTTCATCAATTAGGGCTACATTTTAGTCAACCGAAAGCATCCCCAGATGATCAGTTGGTTGTATTAAACATTGCAGTCCTATTTAACCTTCCTCCATCCCACACTTTTAAAACTTGCCCATGGTGCTGAAATGAGTGACCCAGGGATGGAAAATTGCTTGTCCACACGCCTGAACACACAGATGCAAACAACATAGTATTTGTGGCACATCCAAAGCCAGGAAGGAAGAGACCAGGATTCCTAGCACCATTGTATTTTTCATAATCAATACAGAGACACTTGCCTATCTGCACACCTGGAGGCAAAGGGCCCCCACAGACTGCTGTAAGTTTGCTGGAGTAATCTGCAACATGTCACAGATGCAATAATAGTGTGTTAGTGGAGGATTAATGGTGGACACCATCCCACTTCATTAGCTTTTCTGTGATGCTTCCCCAGTGATACAGTATTATTGCTGTCTGGAGGGACACTCTTGTGCTATAATGCAGCAGGAGTTGGATAAACCCACCATCATCACTTGTTGATATAAAGTTACCAGATCTCAGCAGGAAGTTATGGGATATGTGTTGATTGATAACAAAGCCGAGTGTCCACCCAGTACTGAAAGTGGGATAGTACAAACAGTACTGAAAGTGGGATAGTGTGAAACTGCCATGCTATTATCATGAATGCACAATAAAAAGGACCTCTGAAGAGGCCTTAATTCTTCCTTGCTTGAGATGGAAGGGCTCTTTAGAAAGCTGATCCCACCTTCACCCCCAGCCTTTGCCAGACAACACACCAACATTTCTAGTTTAAGAAAGTTTTTATTTGTACAAATACTTTCCAACATTTTTTTATTTTTTTAAAAAAACAAACAAACCAAAACATCAGGCATACAGACTCACAAAAAAAGAAAGAAGCTTTGGCATAGTATGGAAATATTTGATACAGAACTAATGCTGTAATCCTATATCCAGTTTCCTGGGAAGCAAGCCCCTCTGAAATCAATGGGACTTTATACTTTTCTTTTTAAAAAGTAGGAACACATAGGATTGTGCTGTAAGACTTTTCCTTTTTAAAAAACAGAACCAAACCAAAGTATTTCACATAAACAATTTCTTTAATTAAAAAAAGAGTAAGAATACAAACTGAATTCCCAACCTTTGGAAATGAATAAATAAGGAGTTTGTGGGGTGGGGTGCATTTAACACAAAAACCAAAGTCCAGGTTCCATACAACGGAACCAAATTCAAGTCCTTTTGTGGAGGGGTGGGGGGTAGGAAGCGGGAGCAGAAGATGGTGTCTGTTTTCAGAGGAGAGAATCACCAAGGCCTCCAGACAGCTTCACTGCGCTCCCCACCAGCTTGGGAGACTGGCGCTAAGCTTCCCCCAAAGGATGTGAGCCCCTGCACTGGGGAGACGGAAGGAGTTGCTGTCGAACTGCCGGAAGAGACTGGCATGTTTGCGTTGGCGTAGAGAGGAATCACTGGCCCCGAGCCAGGCGGGAAGGCGGGGTTCGGGATGAGGAAAGCAAACTGGCCCTCAGTTGCCGGCACCAGCTGAAAGCCCCCGTAGACCTTTGGAGACAAGGTTTCCGCAGGGTTCAGTTTGCAAGGCACTGGCATCCCCCCAGGTCCTCCAGCAGGTCCTGGCAACTGGACATGCAGAGGTTGAGCCAGATGGGCAGGCTGTCCACTTGCAGCTGGAGGTGGTGGGGGCGGTGGGGGCGCAGGGTAATTCATGGCCATGATCTGACTCAGGCAGGTGGAGAGGTGGCCCAGCAGCCGGCCACGGACATCTGTGTTGACTCCTTCGCAGGTGGAGAGGAAGCGGGTCACTTCGTTCATGCACTCGTTAAATCCTGCCCGGTATTTGCCTAGGACGGTAGGATCAGCGCTCAGGGCTGCTGCAAAGGAGGGGAAAGAGACAAGAAGGAGAAGGGTTAGCCGGCTTGGATCTTTCAAAGCCTTTTGAGTTCAGCAGACGCAGCTTCCTTTCCTTTCCTCTCTTATGTGAACAGCTGCATGCCAGCTCCGAAATTGCTCCTCAGCAGCTAATTATATCTGTGCATTTAAGCTTATGGGGATTGGCTGAATTGCAGGTCAGGGTATCTCAACCTGGATTTGGTGACGGAAGAGCTGGGTTCAAACCCCTCATGGTGCTCAGTCATGAAGCTTCTTGTGTGGCTTTGGATAAATCCCTTCTGGAGGGGAGTGTGATGAAATACAGGACTGGAAGGGCAGGGGTTCAAAATCCTTGCTGAGCCACAAAACACATTTGGGTGGTCCCAGACAATCTGCCTACCTCACAGGTTTGCTGTGAGGGTTTTTTGTTTTTGTTTTTAGGAAAAGGGGGTATAAGATATCCTGGAGGCAAGGGCAGTGTGTGGGCCAAGGAGGGCCATAGGCCCCAGTTAGTGTGTGTGCTTTGTGTGTAGAAGGTCCCAGACTCTGCCCTCAATGGCATCCTCAGGTAGGGCTGGGAAGGATTCCCTGCCTGAAAGCTTGGAGAGACGCTGCCTGTCCTTGTAGACAGTGCTGAGATATAGGGATCAGTGCTCTGACTCAGCATAAGGCCGCTTTCTATGTGTACAAATGTGCTAAGCAGATTAACTGGAAAGGGGTCAGGAAAGGAGGGAGGCCAGCCAAATCGCCAAGCTTTATTTTACGTGCATCAGATTGCAAGGTTGTCAAGCAGGAGTCAGGGAGAAACATACAAAGAGTTCCGAATTGAATCCCCATCTCCACCCCCCCACCCCGTTTGCAGCCCACCCAAATCTGCCGGTAGGAAGGTTGCCCTCACCTGTCATCTGAGCCCTTTGCAGGTTCCGCAGGTGCTTTACTGTCATTTCCAGAATATCTGCTTTCTCCAGCTTTGAGTGCCGGGAGCTCTGTGGAAAGCAAACAAGCATGATGAGCAAGTTTATTCCATTTGTGGGAGGCAAGGGAGCAAGCAATAACCTAAGGAGTCCCTTCCCCCATATCTCAAAAACTTTGCTGCATCTGGCCATCTGGGACCAATTCGCCTCTCGCTTATCTCTCCCCCTCCCACGATGGCCATAAGTCAACCAGGTAGCTAGATATCAGTAGTAGAATCAAAAGGGTACTTTCCAGGGTGGGGTAGAGAAGTCGGGTACATGCAGTTCACCCCCCCCCAAAAGGAACTCTCCAAATATATCTGTTGCCCCCTTGAATCAAAACTTACATCTTTCTTCAGAGCATCCAGAATGAGAGTCTTGAGCTGGCCCAAGCTTTCATTAATCCTGGCACGGCGTCGTTTCTCCATGATTGGTTTGGAAGACTGAGGGGAACACAGAGAAGTGGTAGAAATTTAGGTGGGCATCAGATAAGCGCTCTTATCTCTCTTCCTGTATACGAGCACAATAACAACTTTGAATGCTATTGCTACCTGCAACATGCATAGCTTTACTTAGTAAGCTACTCCAGGTACTTGGGTCGACTTGAGACCCTTTTCAGACTGCACACCCATCCCAGACACTACAAGCCTTCTCAAGATGCCCCCCCCCAATGCTCATACCATCACAACAACTCTGGAAACAAACATAACTTCCCATTTTTTGTTCCACAGCTTTGCCCTAAAATTGTTCCCCACCCCTCCCCATATAATACTCAAACCTGTCAAGGCACTGACCCAAAGGCACAAGGCTAATCCACCCCCTTCCCCCAATCTAACATACATCACTTGCCTGCTGCTACCATATTCACATGCTCATTTCACACACACAGTAATTTATTTGGGAGATGGTCCTATATAGAAAACGCCAGCAGATTAAACACCCACATTTTATGGGGAGATTCGGGGTAGGTAAACGGCTTTGGAGTAATAAGTAAGATTCGCTAAAGGATGCCGAGAGGAGAGATCCATTTGCGCAGTCACACACATGTACGCAAGCTACATTAAAAAACCCCAACCCAAATCAATATATTTTTGCGGGGTGGGGAGAAGATGAGGGAAATTACCTTTCTGTGTTCGCTGGCGCTCTTGGGTTTATCGGGGGTCTGGCTGGCACTGGCCGGGGCCCCCGCAATCGGGGAGGCAGTAGGCTTCTCCATAGTATCAGCCGGCATTTTTGCAGTTTCTTGATTTTAATGCAGAAATGAAAAAAACAACAAAAATCGGGGGACGTCGCAAAACAGCGCTGGAAGTATTACAGTAGGGGCGGGAGACTGGATCAACTGTTTTTAAAAAGCAAAACAAAACTGTACATCCGATGTTGGTAGCCAATGTATTTAAGGTTGCTGCTGTCGGTGCAATGGTTACTTATCCCAGCTTAAGAGTTTGCTGGCCAAAAGACCAAGGAAAAGGGTGGCGGGGGGTCGAGTAAAGTCTGTGTTTGCAATCAGGCGTCAACGCGCGCGCGGCGAAGGGGAGACGTAGCGCGCGGCTGCCTGCGCGCCTGGCTAGTCGCTCTTCCGCCGCGCTTGTGCTGCTGCAGAGCCGCTGCTGGCTTGGCAGGCTCCGAGGAAACTCCCCCTCCGCCTTTATAGCCGGCGGCAGCTCCCAATTCGTGTGAAACCTTCTCCGCATTCTTTCCCACACTCCTGGCAGCCAATCGGAGACGGGACTCACCCCGCCGGGGCCGCCGATTGGAGGACGCCCCCGCGAGCTGTCAGTCACGCGCTGAGCTTCCAAATATATATATATATATAATATCTCCCAAGGCTGGATTGAAACCAGCAGCTTGGAAGGAACAAAGGTGTGTGTGTGTTTGGGGGGGGGGTCAGCAACACTCCCCCCCTTCAAAAACAGAGGTGTGCAAGGCAACCTGTACAGCAAGTCGGTAGGCTTCTATAATACAACACACACACCCCAAACTTAAATAGGAGCGACAGGAATGTATTAATCCCAGTTTTGCCTTGCAAAATGGGGGTGGGGGTGCAGAGAGGCTTGGAGGGACACTCAACAACAGCAGCAGCCCGGGTAAAGGCCCTGGCAGAGCACCTGCTTGGCATGCGGAAGGTGCCAGGTTCAATCTCCGGCATCTCCAGGTAGGGCTGGGAATGTCTCCTGCCTGGAAAGCCCTTGGGGAGCCGCTTCCCATCAGCGTAGAAAATCCTGGAGAAAGTTCTCAGGCCAGATATTTAAGGAGGTCAGTTGCTGTAGGCTACATATGACAAGGGAAGGAGAAGCAAATGCTGAGAATTTCAGAAAAAGCTGGGCTGCTATGTATGTGTTACGGCCTTTGTGATAACGATTCTCATCCCGACTTTTGCTTTTGCAATTTCCTTAAAGGGGGAAAAAAAACCCGCCTTAATCCCCTATGCTAAATTTTGTACTCATTTTTCATTTTATTATTTTTCGCTAGGGTGGTTCTTGTTTAGATACTGCTGGATGGGGATGGAGTGGATAAATAGTGCGCTCCCTTTTTAATTTAGCCTGCTTTGATGTTATTTATATTTGCAAGTATTTGGATATCCGGATGGATATATATTACATATACAGCACTGCTGCTTTTTTATCAATAAGATTGCTTTTTCAGAAAAAGATATATAAGCATTGAGCAATTAACTGAGCACTGGGTTGCTGCCAACTAATTTGATCCACTGAAATTAATAGACATGGCTAACGTAGGTTCATCCAATTGTCTCGCTGTGCAAACCTAAGCATTACCTTCCTAGAAGTAAATCTCATTGTGGTGAATTGGACTTACTCTTAGATACAGTGTGTGTACTAGGATTGCAGTCTTAACCCAAAACCCACCAACTAGACCGCTTTTAAAAGAATAAACCTTCAAGTACTTGGCCTCCAGCTGGAATCCCTTTATCTCTGCATACTTTTATATATTATTTGCATTAGAAAATTGCTACCTCACTCATATTTTCCATAAGGCGCAACAGTAAAGCGACCAAATCATGCAGGAAAGGAGAGAAGGGGGGGAAAGAACCTGCATAGTTTTTAAATGCACGATTTAAAAACCCACCGCTGCTTCCAGACAAAACCTTGCCCACATCTCCCTCCAGCTGTTGCAAATGAAAGAAAAGAAACCACTCTCTTTCCAGCAGCAAGGGAGGGAAACGAGCGGGTGGGGTGGGGGGGATAAAAAAAAATGAAGCAAGCCACAGCAGCAGCTGGTCCGGCACGCGAAGCCCTGCCAGGCAGGCAGCCAATGGATGAAAGGCTGCAAGCCAAGCTGCCTCTTATTGGCTGGCAACTCCCGGAGCTGTCAATCAAGAGTCTCTCCCTCCCCACCCCCATTCCCGGACCCAGCGGCTAAAGCAGCCGCCAGCTGTTCTCGTGCCTCCACCCGGCTCCCCGGCAAGCCAAATTGGGGCGCGCGCGCGCGCTCACTGGCTCGCTCGCGCAAGCCCTTCCTGCTCTCCTTTTCCTTTCCTCCTGCCTCGCCCACGGGAGCACGTGCCAAAGGGCTTCTGGCTTCCTGCACCGTGCGCACGCACGCACACACTAGCACATAATACACGCTCTCTCATACTGGGAAGAGGGAGGGGGGGTAGAAGGAGGAGGAAAGACTCCAGGAAAAAAAAAGTCCTACTGTGCAATCGAGTGGAGGGAAAGCAGTTCATGGGAAAACCACGCCTCCCTCCTCTCTCTCTCTCTCTCTCTCTCTCTCTCTCATTAGTGTTGTTTAGCTTCCCGTTCAAGAGAGAATATGCAGTCTCTCAACAGGGCTTGCTCTCTGTCCCACTATATGTGTGTTGACTGTTGTCAAGATTTGGAGCAGTTTTCCGGATCTTTGTTGCTCCAGCATATACTTTATTTTTAGGGTGTTAGGATGTATCATCTATCTATCTATCTATCTATCTATCTATCTATCTATCTATCTATCTTGTACAAACCACAGAAACAAAACACAGTGGCTGCTCACAGATACCACACAAAATGAAAAGGGGATGGGGTGGCAAGAGGAATCATATGTATGGCAACCTTGTGGACTTGATATAGAAGATAAAACACTTATTTTCTACCCAGGCTTTCAAGTTACAAAAATAAAATTCTCTTGCATGTTTACCACATTTTAATTTTTTAAAAGTAGTTCTTATATCCCAATGTTCTTAAAACTATTACCTGGCACAAGGTGGTATTTACAAGAACACTTTATGTGTTGGTGGAGGGAGCAGGATTGTGTTCTGCGACCGCTGCCAGCACACCTGGCAACCACACAGTTCACTGGCTGCATGTTTGGAGAGCATAAGAAAACATCCTATGTGCACACCACCGTGCCCATGTACACGCAAAGGGGGAAATCCTGATTGGTCCAAGGTCCCCCTTAACTGCATGGCTCTACACACATCTGTTGGCCATCGACATATTCATAGGCTCATCATCACATGGACATGAGAAGGCAGGGTCAACACAGTGCTGCAACCTCCTAATGTGTTTATTTTTTCATGAGGGCATACTTCTTGGCTCTCAGGGGTCTTTGAAATCCCAGCTGTGTTACTGAGGAAGGCATAAGCTGAAACATTTAACTAAATAAGTGTTAAGACTGTCTCTTGTTTGGTCACATGCACAACATTTTATTAATTATTTCATTTGGGTAAAAAGGCTCAGCAGGGGCCACAAAGTGACTTTAAAAGCAATAATGGGAGAACATGATCAAAGAACCACATCTTAAGAAGTGTCGTAATGAAGAACAGCAGAACCTAATGATCTGTCTTAAAACTCCCCTTTTCCTGGGAAGGCGAGGGAGGTGCACATAGCACACACACATACCCTTTCATCCTCACAACAATCCTGTGAGGTAGGTTGGACTGAAATAGGGTGACCGATTTCACATGGTCACCCAGTGAACTTCATGTTTGAGGGCTGGTCTCTTGGTCACACCCCAACACTAATTGGAAAACCTCTGTCTCCCTTTCTTATCTTCCCCATACACCATGGAGTCTTAACTTCACAACAACCAGAGGAAGAACAAGTGGCAGTGCAGACCATGGATATACAAGGCATCCATCACAACCTACTTGGCAGGGAGGTGGCCTTTATGTGGGGAGTTTCCTTGAACATATGCAGAGGGCCTTCCCCTCCTGGTATGGAAATTATTTAGGGCATGTGGATATTGGTTCTGGGCTCTGTTATCCCTGCTTTAGGATCTAAATATGAATCATCTTCGTGAGCTGGGCCACATGCAACCAACACAAAACCGAGTCGAGCAATTTATTATGATCTTTTACTCCTCCTCTTGCTTTGCTTTGCTTTGTTCCAGTCCACCTCCCTGATAATCAAATCTCCAAGCACGACCCAAAGTTTAAAGGAGTGGGGAGCTCTGTGTGTGTGTGGTGTGGAAGAGGTGGCTGGAAAATTGAATCCTCTTCCTACCCTCTCTTCAATTTCTTATTCGTGAACAATTATTGTCTGGGAAACAGCTGGGGAAAAATATGGTGGATAGGTGAGGGACAGAGAGAGAGAGAGGAAGCCCAATAGTGCCACCTATTGGCTGTTTGATAGGTCTGTTTCAGATCACGATTAAACATTGAGAAGTTGGTTGAACTCTTAAGCTTTCCCCTGGGAAAGCTGTGGCCCTCTAGCTTTTGTCAGCCCCAGCCACCATTGCCCATAGTCAGGGAAGGTGGGAGTTGTACTCCAACAGCATCTGGAGGACCAGGGGTTCCCCAGCCCTAGATAAGAAGCACCATTCAGAAATAAGGCTCCATGCTGTGTCTCTGCCTGAGTGCCAGCTCTGGCTTTTTATTAAGACTGATTAAAGCAGGGATGGGGAGCCTGTGGCCCTCATCAGCCCCAGCCAGCATGTCCCATAGATGGGGATGATGGGAGTTGTAGTTCAACTGCTGTTGGAGAGCCACGCTTCTCCATCCCACAGTAGAGTAAGGAAGGGTGGGTAAACCCATTCGTTTCAGTTTCTCAAAGTTTCTCATTTGTTCCCCAGTCTTAAGTGCCTTTCTCCACATTTCCACATAATTTTGCAATTTTTTTTTAAGCCTCATGAAAATCTGTCATTTTACTGCTCATTTCGTCAGATATGAACATTTTTTCTGGAAATGAACATTTTGCAAAGCCATTTCCCGTAATATGATGATTTTTGTGTGTGCTCACTGACATAAGCACACGTTCATATATGCATTTTTGTACATATTACTTGTTGGGAGAACTTGCATTGCACAAATTGGAAAAGTCCAGATTTTGAAGGATGGCTGTGTTTTAGCTAAGTTCACCTTTAAATCCAAACTGAATCAAATTTCTCTTCCATTCCTAGGAATGATGGGAGTTATAATTCAGCAACATACAGAGGCCCACACAAAATCCTCATCCTAGCTGTAGAGTAAGTCCCCTTGAATTCAATATTGGTACCCTTTCTGAGTAAATATGAATAAAATCTGAAGCAGTGTTGCAGTGGCATATTTTGAAGTGCAGGAGCTTATGATGGCGGCCCTCCTCACCACCACCCCTAAGGAGAATCCAAAATTGCAGGTAGCTGTGTCACTGCATTACTACAGTGTTCTTCAACCTGGGGTTTCCAGATGTGGATGGACTACAACTCCCATCATCCTTGGGCTAAGCTGG